GATTGATTTAGCATATATCAAATCTAATTATGTTTTCTGCATATTTTGATTGGTTTAGCATCTGTTGATTTCACTTGGAAACAGATACCTCCTCCAGGAAAAGGAGCACTGTATCTTAGGCCTATGCTCATGGGAAGCAGCAGTCATCTGGGCGTACAGGCAGCGACTGAATACATATTTCTTGTTTTTGCTAGTCCTGTTGGCAGCTATCACAAGGTAAAGTATCGAGTGTACTTTTGTTCCCTCTGAATTCCAATTTCCAAGCAAATGCAGAACCAAGAGACATGGTGAATTTTTCTGCTGAAAGAAAAGAAATGCCCTTTCAATCTCTTATATGATGATAATGTTTGAAATTCCATGTTAGTGAAAAAGCTTTCGAGGTGTCCCTTTTCAACAACAAGGCCACTAGTTTTTCTTTTTTGTTTGCAAACAGAATGATTAACGAACACTGCATTGTGTACATGATAGGGTGAAGCAACCTTAAATTTGCTTGTCGAGAACAAGTTCCATAGAGCTATTCCCAGTGGAACTGGCGACATCAAAGCTGTTGTGAACTATTCTCCAGTAAGAAAATTATTTTTTGTAGCTGATAGATGGTCAAAATATCATGGTTTTGTTGATTTCATGAATTAATGAGTAGAATGGTAAGAAATCTTCAATTAGCTTTTCTGAGTCACTTTTGTTTTTTAATTTTACTTCCTGCTTTGATTCTTGTTTTATTGAAGACTGTTAAACCATTAGCTCAAGCAAAAGCCAAGGGGTTCTCTGATGTGTTGTTTCTCGATTCTGTTACTGGAAAATATATCGAGGAGGTTTCTGCATGCAACATCTTTATGCTGAAGGTATTTTCTCATAAATAATATTCTCATTTAAATGCAACAGCAGACATGAAGATTTTAGTGAATGCCAAGACTGAGCTTTGCAAATCTATGATTGTTTCTTACTGTCAGTAATCATTGCCATTCAGATGTTCTTTCATTAAATGACTGTCTTTTGCAGGGAAATGTTATATCAACTCCTGCAACAAATGGAAACATTCTTTCAGGTATCACGCGGAAGAGCATCATTGAACTCGCAAAGAATTCTGGGTACAAGGTGATACATTTGCTGTTTAATACATTTATCCAGTCTATAGTCTCAGGCACAGTATAACAGACAATGTTGTTTTTTGATGAGTGATAATTTGTATTGAATTCCAGGAAAAAACACACACACACAAGAGCACTAACCTGCACATGTGCATGCATCCCCTTCCTCTAATACATTTGGTTCTGTTCTTAAGAGAGCATCAAATCCTTAGTAAATTAGTGGCATTTGTATGGAATGACAATTCTTGGAGAATATATAAAAGTAAACTTCTGAAAGAATATTGTTTGAAACTGAAACAGGCTGAGGAACGTGCAATTCCAGTGGATGATGTGTTTGATGCTGATGAAGTCTTCTGCACTGGAACTGGAGTTGTTGTTACCCCTGTTTCTAGCATAACCTATCAGGATAAAAGGTAGATTTGGCACATTTAAGTTTGTTTTTTTTTTGTTCCAGTGTAACACAGAATATTCTCCCTATTTGTCTAGTATTTTTAGTCACCACATCACTGCTTAATGCAGATATGAGTACAAAACTGGGAAGGACACAGTCTCTCAGCAGTTGCGTGCAGCTCTTACTGGCATTCAAACTGGCTCCATTGAGGACAAGAAGGGATGGACAGTTGAGATACGAAGTTAGAATCCTGAAAAATTTTCTTTGAGAGTCTGCATCCTTTTTAAGTTTTGGCATTAGAACTTCCAGCTTTTAGGGCCTACTTAAGCTGCTGTGTGTTTTTGTTGGATGGATTGTTTGTTTCAGTAACCATATGTTGGATAGATTGTTTGCATAAATAAGTAAGTTGGTTCAGATAGGCCGATTTCAGTTTGTCTGAAATTTTAGTGGTAACTCTTGACGTAAAGAGAGTTCACTAATTATTTGAAATACATGTTAGACGCATTACCTATTGAGCAAGAGAGGGCAGAGTATAATAAACACTAGGCTTGGGGCATTGTTCGGTTTCGGTTTAACCAAAATCAAAATGTGAACTATCTGTGTGTTATTATTATTATTATTATTATTATTATTATTATTATTATTATTTTATTTTAGTAACCAAAACTAAACTAAATTGTTTATGAATTTTCTAGTTTGGTAACTAAAATAATCGATTTTAATATTTTGGTTATTAGTTATAACCAAATCAACATTGAATGCTTATTTCAAGTTTAATATTTAATATACTTAATCAAAATTTGAAATTTTTAAAGGATATAAATATAATAAAATGTAAAAAAGATGAATAAATGAGAGTAAAATATAAATTGAGCTTTTTTTTTTAATTTAAATATGTTTTAAATTTAAATACTAAATTATAATAAAATTTATAAGATAAAACTAAAAAATAAAATTAAATAAGATGATTTTTATATTTATTTATAATATTTAAATTACTATTATTTATTTATTAATATAAAATTTTATTTTTTGGTTATAAATTCAATTTAAAATTTTTAACTCTCTTATCATTAATCAACTAAATATTTTTGGTTATCTAACTAATATTGAAAAAAAAAAGAAAAAAAACAATAACCATTTGTATCTAATCATTTAGTTAATTTTTTAACTTTTTGATTATTTACTTTAGTTAACCAACGATCTACCCAACCCTAATAAACACTATCACTATCAACTTAAATAAATTTGAGAGAATACAATTTCATATTGGATAGCTATGGTGATGTATCAGTTTCTAATCTTATTACCGTTCAAAAGAGTTACAAACAAATCGTTCCAAGTGTCTGTAATTCCAGGTAGGCACCAATGCATGCAATCATCGTGCTTCTTTCCACCAGCTGAGGCAGGATGGGCGTCTGCTCTGAACTCGCTCATCTGAGTGATGTCTAATAAACGGAAATCAGACTCCTCTAGGGCCTTGTATAGGTGTTGGTTCACCATGCGTACTTCCACATTTGTCCCATTTTTCTTCGTTGAGAAAAGGTCCTCAACCTGGTATTAGAGTGACTAAACCTATTAACCTTCATCCACAGCAGAACTGAAACAATAGACAATCCTCAACTCACCTGTTCTGACAACAAAGGTTGAAGCCGTTGGCAAGAACCACCATGGTCCCAGTCACCTCCTTCAAAATGTCTAGGTGACTGTGTGCGAAAAAATTTAATGGTATCTGGTCGTGAATTTCTCTTTACAAACAGTATCTGTCAGAATATGAGAAAGATTCAAGAGTGGTTAAATACTTGTAGTCATAAATTTTATGTTAGTTCCCAACATCATAGGCATCATCCATGCAAGCAGACCACATACAGCAGTTTTATTGGGGTATAGAAACTGCCAAGTTTCTACTCTCTGTAAAATCAGAGTCATAATATGTGTTTCCATACCTAGAAAAACATGAGATACCTTACAAACAATTTTTTCCCAATGAAGATACTGAAAAGAAAGATAACTCCATACCATGTGTCTTAAAGCCTTTTCCAACCCAGCATTAGGAGGTATAGGAGGCAGCACAGGTAGATCATTTTCAAAGAAAAGCATGGGTGACTTCGCAGGATCAAATTTTGAAGGAGCAAACCACCTATTGACAAGAAACAATGGAAAAAAAATTTACTGAGGAAATTTTGACGGAGCACTTTAAGTTGGTCATGTCATACAAATAAAAGATTTTAGATTCCAGAAAAAAAAACCCCATAGCGCATCCTCTTTGTTAAATTCCAGACCAGCAGGACTGACAGCCTCAATTCACCAAGGACTAACATGCATATATCACACATACATTTGATAACTAGATTCCACTCTTTAAACAGATAATGAGATTACCAGTGTCCTGTGTTGAAGATTAGAATATCATGGAAACTTGGAGCCTTCTCCCATGTGCCCTCTGGAACATCAATATCAACTCTATAACCCTCTTTATATCCAAGAGCTTCCAACTCTCCACCGTTAGCACTGGCTGACCACCTGCATCAAATACATCACCTATTTAAATGCAACCCAAGCTAAATGGTTCATACTGTGGATACAAACAAAAGCCAAATGAATAAGGCAACAAAATTAAAGCAAAACTAAATAAGTTCCATGTATGAGAAAATCGCCATGACACTTACTCTACTCACCCACCAAAAAAGAAAATGCTCTTTATGCTCTCTTATTCTCATCCCAAATTAACACATACACACACCTAGACAAAGCTAGAAGCTTTAGTTTTTCAGATAACATTTCTCAAAATTAAGGCCTGATTACCATAGAATCATATTCTTTCTAGGTTCAAATCTTATGAATCAAAGAAAAGCAAAAGAAACAAATCTAGTTCCAATACCATAATTACTTAATACTAACACAATGGATCTAAGCAAAAACATCCAATAAGTAAGCACTAGACAAGAAAGAACTTCAGCAATCACACTAACATTAGGCATGACGAAGCAAAACCAGCTTACCTACTATAACGGACCAAAAGATTCGTTCGGTGATATGCAATGGTGAGGTTATACTGAAGAAACGTGAACCCCCGATCAGCCCCAGCGGGACGCCACTTCTTCACTTCACCGGACACCCGTTTCAGAGTGCAGAATAAAGAAACAAACATATTCCTATTCAAGGAATCGCCAATAAACCCTGCACTGTTAAACATTCGTAAGTTCTGTAACTTGTGGGTCACTTCAATTGCTCAACATTAGAGGGAAACGCAGGATTTTTTTCAATTTTCCCAGAAACCAAACAAAACCCAAGTGAGAGAATACCAATGTTAGTATCTCTATAGGACTCGAGAAACTTGAGCGGATCCAATTGCGGTAGAGGGCAGTTCCTGGGGGTCCAGCGCCACTTGACGATCTCCCGAGCGTTGGATTTGTTGTTCAAACCACAGTTCCATCCTTTAAATATCTCCTTGCAGCTGCTATCGTACCTCTCGAATCTGACATCTGGGTCGTAGATCCACGACCCACGGGAGTAGTCGCATTCAGAGCCAGAGCCAAGATTGTCAACATCGTAGCTACCATTGATGGTAATTTGGACGGATGGGAGATGTTGTTGAGTAGAAGAAATGGAAGCTCTTCTGGAGAGGGAGAGGAGGAAGAAGATGGAGATGAAGCAGAGGAGAGAGAGTAAAGGGAAAAGAGTGGAGAGCTTCTTTGTTGCTGTCATGGCGGCCTCTGTTCGCATCTCGTCATAGTCATTCGCAGACGATTTTTTTTTTTTTTGTTTATTAGTTATTTGGGGTGTGAAAATTGTAAATTGAACTTGGGCTGGTTCAGTTCGGTGGGGGTACTTGGGATAGGTCTTGTATTCTGGAAATTGGACCCATACCCTCTGAGATTTTGGGCCCATTAGTTAGGTTTTCTTAATACACATTTTTCACATAATAAGTTATTTAAAAATATAAATTTATAATTCTTATTTTATTAGTTCATTTTTAATATATTTAATTTTTTATTTAAAGCGTTTAAATTTTAATATTTACTTTTTTTTTAATTAT